GCACCACAGGGTCTCCAAGGCTGTCAGTCTTTATGGGAGCAAAGCCCAAACCACACCCACTGGAAGCAAAGCCCAAACCAAAGTCACTGCCATTGACTTGACTTGACTCCTAGCGACCCCTCCCTCCTTGGGTTTCCGAGGCAGCATCACTACGGAAGTAGATTGCCCAACCTTCCTTCTGAGGAGTGGCTGGTGGGTTTGAACCATCAGGGTAGAGTGGTTAAGAATTTGGCTGGTAATTGAAAGGTCAGCAGTTGTAATCCACCAGTCGTCCTGCAGGAGAGAGCTCCTGGCTGCTGTAAACATTACAGCCTGGGAAACCCCAAGGGCTAGTTCTGTTCTGTCAGCTCACTATGAGTCAGAATCGAACCCACGGCACCCTACAACACTGCCCCTGGATGGTCCAAATGGTTTGTGCTCAACCACTAACCAGAAGGTTGGTGCTTAAGACCCCACCCACGCAGCAGCACCACCAAAGGCCTGGTGATCTATTCTGGTACAGGTTGTGGTTGTTAGCTGTCATCGAGGTGGTCTGGACTCACAGCGACTCCAGGCACAAGGGAATGAAGCCTTGCCTGGTCCTGTACCAGCCTCACAAGTGCTGCGATGCTTGAGCTCATTGTTGCCTCCTGTGTCAACCATCTCATCGAGGACCTTCTTCTTTCCCACCAACCCTCTACTTTACCAAGCATGATGTCCCTCTCCAGTACTGATCCCTCTCGATCACATGGCCAAAGGACAGGAGACACACTCTCACCATTCTCACTTCTTAGGAGCATTCTGGCTGTCCTTCTTCCAAGACGGATTTGTTCGTTCTTCTGGAAGCCCACTGTATTGGCAATATTCTTTGCCAATGCCATAATTCAAAGGCATAATTCTTCACTGTAATTCTTCAGTCTTCGTTATTCATGGTCGGTAAGGATACAGCCAAGAAAGCCCTATGGAGTTCAGGTCTACGTGGTACCATGTGGGGTTGCCCATGAGTTGGTATCGACTCAATGGCAACAGGTTTATTAACTGCTACTAAGCTCTTGGTGGTTCAGTGATAGAACTCTTGCCTTCATGCTGGACACCCACCCATGCCCCACAACTGGGTAGTTGGTGAAATAATAATTATGGGGTAGATTGAGCCCCATGTGAGTTTACTATGGTCACATATTAACAAGTAGATTTTTCTGGTTAACACATTTTGTAGACTGGGTGATACTGACTGGCACAGTTCCTCCTGCCTCCACAGCTCGGCTCAATCTTAGGACAAGGAGAGGTCTGGAAACTCCTCATCTGTGTCCTGCTGGTTAGAAGCAAGGATGCGGAGGCTTTGGCTCATTAACTTTGGCCATGTCATCAGGAAAGACCAATGGATAAAAAAGGGCATGTTGTTTGGTGAAGTAGATGGTTATCAAAAATGACGCAAGCCCATGAGATGGATTGGCATGTTGGCTTCAGCAGTGGGCTCAAAATGTTGTGAGGGTGGCTCAGGACCTGGCAGGGTTTCATTCTATGTCAGGTTGTCATGACTTGGAGGGGACCTCATAGTCATTAACAACAACAAAGGGAGCTTAGAGTCACCAGGTTGGCCATTCAGCTCACCAGAGGATGGCAATTTAGAGTGTGTGTGTGTCTCTCTCTCTCTCTCTCTGTGTGTGTGTGTGTAGCTGACATCTGGGCCCCTCACGGAAAGAACACTGTGTTCACAGCCTGTGCTTTGGGGTCCCAGTGGACCCATTTATTGACTCGCAGCCTTGTTGCCCCAGGCCCATTCTGAGAGGGGCCCAGCCCTGGAAAAGGTAGCGGAAACACGGACCCAGTTTGGTTGTGGGTGTGGTTGGGGAGTTGAAGAGAACACTTCCGTCTCCATGATGAATGGGGAGATTGGGTCCCGGAAACAGCTGCAAGACCCGTCCCCCAGCAGGCTGAGAGGGTGCCCTCACTTCAGGAAGAGGAGCCCCAGGAGGGATGGAGTTGCTTCCTTCTGAGTTCTCTAGTCCCAGAGCACAGTGTGCCTCTTAGTTGAATTGGTACCATCCTAGTGGAGGAATGACTCCCAGTTGAACGTTTCCTTCCTTAGCCAAATGAGTGATGTCAGCAGTTGCTAGGCAGAACTTTTTGTGCCCCTCCTCCCCCTTTCTGGCAGAACCAATTTTTCCTGTAGCCAAATGGACACGGATGCCATTGGTTATCAGATTGATTTGCTGGGTGAGGACAAAAAAATGGGTGACATCATCAGTTGCTGAGCAGATTTACTGGGATGATTCTCTTCTGTGGCCTCTTTGTGCTGGTAACTGTTCTCCACGGTTCCATTGACCTTCCTGGAGGGAAAGACCAGTGTTTAAGGAAAACGTCCAGGAAACCAGGGGCGGGATCATCCAGGAAGGCAGACTGCTCTTGGACTGGGAGCAGCTGAACTACCAACAAGAGGCCTGGTTCACACTCACGGAATCCTCGCTGAGTATATCCTGACGTGATCTTCCCCAAGGGCTGTCTAGGCCTCAAGGGTTTGGGGGACACAGAGGCCAGTGTCTTTTGAGTGGAACCAGAGGAAGTGGGGTTCCAGAGACCCCACCAGTGGAGCAGTGGAAAGGTCGGGATCGGTAGGAAGGCGACGATAAGGAGGAGAGGGAACCAGTTCACATTGCTTGGCAGGTAGGGCTGTCTCACCTCCTGGCCCTGGTGGTAGAGAGACGGGAAGGGCAGTTGGGAGAGAGAGGTGATGAGGGGGATTCAGTCTGCGAGGTGCTTGAGATCAGGTTCCCCAGGGGCTGCAGGTGAAGGGGTCCCTGCGGTGGCAGGAGCGCAGACCCAGGGTTATGTGGTGTGGGGGATCTGGTCACCTGGCTGCCATTCCAGGCGGTGTAGTAGGGGGGTGCCATCTGGTAGAATCGCACGAAGCAGATGGTGAGAAGAGCCAGCAGCCCTGGCAGGGCCACATAACTCCACAGGAAGACAAAGATGGAGCACGGCAGAGGGCCCAGCTCAGTGAACATTTCTTCATGGAAGCTGGGGTGGGAGGAGCCACAGGGGCCTGGAGTCCTTGGGAGGTGCCGCCAGCCCTTTGCCTGGGGACCTTGGTTTTCTTATGAGTTCCCAACCCTTTGGGATTGCCAGGGTCTGCCTAAGGCACTTGACTGCTAATCAGACGTTCAAACCCACCAGCCACTCCCTGGAAGGAAGATGGGGCAATCTACTTCCCTAGAGATACTGCCTCGGAAATCCAAGGAGGAGTCGCTATGAGTCGGGTCTGACTCGAGGGCACATAACAACACCAACACCAGGCTGTCATCTAGTCTCCCCCACGGAATCCCCCAAACTAGGAGGCAGTCCTCCATGGGCCTTTACACTGCCCCAGCCCTGTGCTTTGGGACTCGCCAGGGCAACCACACACAGTTCCTCGGGTCCCAATGGCTGACTTCCTGGGAGCCATCCTGCCGCCCTTCCGTTGCTCCTTCCTGCACTCCGGCAGCTCCCGGCTGGACCTCTCTGCTAAGGAGCAGACGGAGGGCGCAGGGCAACCCCCAACCCTCCTCACTGACCTGGGATGGGATTCCTGCTCGGCAGCCCATGGGGCTTGGAAATCACCTTCGGATTCTGTAGATACAGGCCAGGGTCACATGCTGGAAGGTCACAATGATGACAAGGACCAGCGGGACCAGGTGTTCATCAAACAAAGACATGATGTAGCTTCCGGAGCGACTGGTGAAGACCAGACTTCCCAGGAGACCTCCCAGGCAGATGACCACTAAGGTAGAGTCAGGGTTGGCCACACTGAGGTCCACGCATAGGGTTGGGCCAGGGGTCAAAGTGCAGCTAGGAGACAGGCAATAGGCTGCGGAGAGGAGGGTAGGGGTGGCACAGGAGGGTTTTCACTGGGATCAGAGTCCGTGGTACCTGAGAGCAGCTTAGGATGCTTTCTGAAGATGGGAATGGCATTCTGGAGGGGAAGGGAGATGCCTTCCAAGACTTTCATCAAGGTACTCAGCCCTGTGATGAACACGGCCAGGAAGAAGATGATGGCGAAGAAGGGGGCCCCAGGGAACGACGAGATGACTTGGGAGAAGGCCACAAACACCAGGCCAGGGCCTTCCATGATCTGTGGGAGAGAAAGGCTCTGCGGTGGCAATGTGTCTAGTAGATATGGGTGAATGGTGCTGTCATTGATTAGCACTATCTTGGGTGGATGGTGCTGTCATTGATTAGCAATATCTGTCTTGGGTGGATGGTGCTGTCATTGATTAGCAATGTCTTCTTGGGTGGATGGTGCTGTCATTGATTAGCAATGTCTGTTTTGGGTGGTTGGTGCTGTCATTGTTTAGTAATGTCTGTCTTGGGCGAGTGCGCTTTTTACCTTTTTGGGGCCTCGGCTCCCTCCTCTAAGAAATAGGGACCTTAGGGTTGATTTGAGAATTGATGCAGAGCAACTGCCCCAGCACTTGGGAAATTAAAGGACAGACATGATTACGACTGTTACCGGTTTCAGAGGATGGTTATGTGGTCCACAGGTTGCCGGAAAACACACCGCCCAGTGCGCTCTGGGGCCTTTGGGACGCACCTTGTGGTCCCCGCAAACACACCTTTTCCTTCTGTATCTTGATGCTGCAGGAAGGGGTGAGGTGGATGACGTGATGCTGGAGGTGCTGGGGGAGGCTGCCGAGCCATTCTGTGTAGTCCACGTCTTTCATAAGCAAGACTTTCTCTGGGGGCATAGTTTGCGGAGGCAGCAACCCTTTGGCTATCAGATCCATGAGTTTTATGATGCTCCTGAAGGGCAAGTAGAAGAAGGGAAGGCCGACGGAGAACCAGCACGCCCCTGTGTTGACTGAAAAACCAGGGAAATCCAGACCCGGACAGGGAAGTGCCTTGCCCAAGATGCCTGCAGTTGACTGGCAAGGAGCCCCATAGTGACAGGAAGGTAACCAAATATTCACTTTGGGGCCTCTGCAAGGGGCCCAGGATTCTATATTTGTAGTGGCTGGAATTCCTCGCCATTTTCTTTCTCTTTGCACCTCATGTATGGAGTGGATCCATTTTTTCTCAATTGGCAGGGAAAAGTCTGCTTAATTTCATTTAGATTTCCCTCCTCCATTTCTGAATTTCATTATTTCCCAATTTCTACACCTACCCACTCTCATATGTTTGATGAATGACCTTAAATATAGGTGTGTGTTTGGGGGGGAAAAAAAAAAAGGAATGTTACTGTTTGTGTGTGTGTATGTATGTGTCATTAATTCACTAAAGTGATGTTGTAGCATGAATTGTTGTCTGTTTCTTGTTTTTATTTTTCCCCATTCCATTTTCTGGGGGGTGGGGGGGTCTCCCAGCTGCTGCACCGTGACCCAGAGTATGCACCCACCACATTTCACATTTGATTCCCAATTAAAACTCCACCCCGGTGGTCACAGACATTGTCATGATGACCAGTCATTTACAGGGTTTGTTTGAAAATTTCTCTGGGGTGTACACTTGGGAATGAGGTCACTGGACTGTAAAGCATAAATAAGTAATTTAACCAAATGTTGCTAGATTCCCAGATGTCTTTTTTTTTTTTTTAATTACTGTGAAAATATACATAGCAAAGCATACACCATCTCCACAGTTTCTACATGTACAATTCAATGACACTGATTACATTCTTCAAGTTGTGCAACCACTCTCCCTGTTGTTGTTAGGTGCCGTCGAGTTGTCTCCGACTCACAGCAGAACAAAACACTGCCCGGTCCTGTGCCAGCCTCACAATCCCTGCTGTACCTGAGCCCATCGTTGCAGCCACTTTGTCAGTCCATCTCATTGAGGGTCTTCCTCTTTTTTGTTGATCCTCCACTTTACCAAGCCTGACATCCTTCTCCAGGGAATGGTCCCTTCTGACAACATGATCAAAGTAGGTGAGACGAAGTCTGGCCATTCTTGTTTCCAAGGAGCATTCTGGCTGCACTTCCTCCAGGACAGATTTGTTAGTTCTTTTAGCAGTCCCTGGTACTTTTAGCATTCTTCTCCAACACCACAACTCAAAAGCATCAACTCTTCTTCAGTCTTCCTTATTCATTGTCCAGCTCTCACATGCATAAGAGGAGATTGAAAATATCATGGCTTGGGTTAGACACACCTTAGTCTTCAAGGAGACGTCTTTGCTCTTCATCACTTGAATGAGGTCTTTTGCAGCAGATTTGCCCAATGCAATATGTTGTCTGATGTCTTGACTGCTGCTTCCATTGGTGTTGATTGTGGAACCAAGTAATATGAAATCCTTGACAACTTCAGTCTTTTCTCCATCCATTGTGAAACTGTTTATTGGACCAGTTTTGAAGATTTTTGTTTTCTTTATATTGAGGTGTAATTCGTACTGCAGTCTGTAGTATTTAATCTTCATCAATAAGTGCTTCAAGTCATCCTCACTTTCAGCAAGTAAAGTTGTGTCATCTGCATATCGCAGGTTGTTAATGAGTCTTCCTCTAATCCTGATGCCACATTCTTTGTATAGTCCAGCTTCTTGGATTATTTGCTCAGCATATAAATTGAGTAAGTATGGTGAAAGGATACAACCCTGACACATTCTCTTCTTGACTTTAAACTATGCCGTATCCCCTTGTTCCCGTTAGAAAGACAGCCTCCTGAGCTATGTACAGACTCCTCATGAGTACAATGAAGTGTATTGGAATTCCCATTCTTTTCAATGTTATCCATAATTTGTTATGATCTACACAATCAAATGCTTTTGCATAGTCAATAAAACATAAGTAAACATCTTTCTGGTATTCTTTGCTTTCAGCTAATATCCATCTGACATCAGCAATGATATTCCTCGTATATTATATATATATAATTGTTTCTATTTTATCTTCTCTATTGTCTTTTTAGGTGTACATTTGTTTTGTTTTTGGTGATTAGAGTTGTGCTGTCCAACATAGTAGCTGTTAACAGCATGTGGCTACTGATTTCTTGGAATATGGCCAATATGATTAATATATTGTAGGAGCTCTGGTAGCTTTTGAGTGCCTAAGGCATTTGACTGCTAACCAGAAGGCTGGCAGTTCAAACCCACCAGCCACTCCTCAGAACGAAGGTTGGGCAATCTACTTCCGTAGTGATACCACCTTGGAAACCCAAGAAGGGGTCGCTATGAGTCGGGTCCAACTCGATGGCACATAACAACAACAACAACACAATATGATTGAGGAACTGAATTTTAAATTGTATTTAATTTTAGGTTATTCAGTTATTGGAAAACCTCTAAGTATGTTTACAGTAATACATATGTAAACTAACTTTTTCAACTCTACATTTTTATGAACTCTAAATAGAAATCAAGTATTGTTAGCTTCAAGAATTTCCTTTAGTATTTCTTTTGGTACAGATTTACCAGTTGTGAATTCTCTTTTATTTTATTTGGAAATGTTTTTATTTCACTTTAAATGTTTAAACATATTTTTCTGAATATGGAACTCTAGGTTGACAGATATTTTCCTTCATTATTTAAAAATATTTCATTCCATTGTCTCCTAACTTCCATTGTTTCTGATGAGAGGTCAGTTATCATCTTATCATTGTTCCACTGTGTTCAATATACTTTTTTCTCCCTTTTTTCTGAACTTTAAACATTTTCTATTTATCTTTGGATTACAGAAATTTGACTATGATGGCCTAACTGTGATTGTCTTTATATTTATCCTCTTGGGACATTTTGAGCTCCTAAGATCTGTGTATCGATGTTTTTTTCTTCAATTCGGGAGAAAAAAATTGCTCACTACCTATTAAAAATTTTCTGCCCCAATTGTTACACACATATCAGTCTTATAGATCTTTGATCTTCTGTTCAGCTTCAATCTTTTTTCCCTCTCTGTCCTTCACTTTGTGTAACTTTTAATCAGTTATCATCAAGTTATCTGCTATCTCCAATCTAAATTAAACACATGCAGTGAAACTTTCATTTCATCTACATTTTCAGTTCCACATTTCCATTATGTTCTCTTTCAGAGTTTCCTTATCTCTTCTAAAATACCCCATTAACTTTATAGATTCTATTAATCTCTTAAATTATTTCACAAAATTCTAATGGTTGTTTTAAAGGTCTAATTTTCTAATTCTAGTATCTGGACAATCTTTGGATCTTCTTCTTTTTTTTTTTTTTCCTCTTGACTATGGGTCACATTTTCCTGTTTTCTGGAATTTTTTGTGATATGTTATGTTGGTCGTTGTGTATACAAGAATAAAGGAGACTATAATATATTATTTATTTTGTTTAGTCCCAATAAGTTCAAAACTTTTATTGCAACAGGAAATTAGAATGAGGGGCTAATTGCTTAAGTTCCTGTAAGACTTGAGTTGACTTGGAGATAAGCGACATTTCTAATTAGTTTTCTTTTAATTTCAAATGGTATTAAGGAGAGCTCTCTTTACCCTTGAGCCAAATTCCCAGCTTCTGTACTAATTAGGGCTAACTCCTTTGAGGTTGTCATTATTTAAGTTGGAGAGGGTTGGGTGTAGCTTCAGATATTTGTAGTTCATCTTTGGATTCCATGCCAGCTGGGCCCATAAAATCTGGGCACCGTAAGACTATGCACACTCCCTCTGCTTGGTGGCCCTGTCATTTCCTTGACAAAATTCCTGGGAATGGGATGAGGAGAGCTGTTGGGCCAAGTGATATATTTGTGTGTTTGGGGCTCTTCAAGATTCCAATAGCTATTGCCGACTGTGGTAGTTAAGTTTGTGTGTCAACTTGGCTGGGCCTGGTTGAGGGGCTGGGCAGCTGGTGGTAGTTATTCCCCGTGATGAGACTGGTAATCAACTCCATGGTGGGATCTACCACAAGCAGCTGAGGAGCTGCCTTTGGGATGTGTTCTGCTTCCTGTGTATAAGGAGAAGCCTTGGGAATGGTCTCTAGCCTGTGGCACGCTTGGACCCTGCATGTAGCCGTGTTGTTGTTCAGTAGCCTGCCATGCTCTGCTGACCTTGGGACTTACAATGAACTTGAATTAATGGCCTGCTGTGTGCTTTGGTAACATTGGGACTGTGCCATTTTATTTGTCAACCTTGGGCTTCTCAGCCTTAGCAGCCAACAGCTGTCTGAGTGAAGCAATGCCTCTAGCTTCAGTGGGCCAGGAGCTGGAGGCAGAGCTGAAGCCCAAGGCTGAGGGGCTTTCACCCAGCCCCTAGAGCCTAGCACTTTGAACTTGGACTTAAAGCCTCCAAATTGTAAGAATGAACTCCTGTTTGTTAAGGCCACCTCATTTGTAGTATATTCCCATCAGAGTGGCACGAGGTAACCAGAACACCAACTCATACTGTTATTAAATGCCTGGCTTTTTGTTTTTCCTCCCCGCATCTGTGAGTCAAATAATTAATCATGAGTTTTTTTTCTCCTCCATTTGCAATTTACATAAACCCTAGGATAATCACTTCTATGAGACTATTTTCTTATTCATAAAGTAGTAGATATTACAGATTATTCCCCTGCAAGTTGTTTCTTCTGAGACTAAAGGTGACATTATTATTATTCATGGAGATATCCTGAGTTTGAAGGTCCATGCGGCTGGGGGATTGCTAAAGTAGATGGAGGGGGGCAGGGTTTTCCTTGGACCTGTAAGGTTGTGTTTACTCACTTCTTAATACAGGTGGGACCACTGGTTGTGGCCCAGAACCCCAGCACTAGAAAGATGATGGTTGTAGGCAACAATGAGGTCAGTAGGTTGATCAGGGCTACCATGGAGACCACCTGGGTAAAGTTATGGACGTTGCCTTGAGTCTTGTAGGAGGAGAAGGTGATGACAGTTCCTGTGCCCAAACTCAGAGAATAGAGCACATGTCCTCCTGCCTGACGCCATAGGTCCAGTGAGGCCAAGGCAGAGAGCTGTAGATGGGAGTGTTGTTGTTATTTGCCATCAAGTCGGATCCAACTCAGAGCGACCCCTCCTTGGGTTTCCCAGGCAGTATCACTACGGAAGTAGATTGCCCCATCTTCTTTCCGAGGAGTGGCTGGTGGATTTGAACCACCAGCCTTCTGGTTAGCAGTCAAGTGCCTTAGGCACGACACCACCAGAGCTCCTGTAGATGGGAGTGGGTGGGGAGATTTGGAGGACGGGCTCAGTAGTGGTCTGGGAGATGGGCAGGCTGGGGTAGAGAGCAGAGGGATGAGCTAGGGCAGAGAGAAGAAGGTATGAGGGAGAGGCAGCTCAGGGAAAGCCTTGGGAGGCGAGGGAGAGAGAGAGACAGAGAGGGTTTGGAGTCCCTGGCCTCACCTCTGTGGTCACCACATGTTTGAGGCTGACGCTCGCACCTTCCAGGAAGAGACTTCGGATGAGGAAGCAGAGGAGGATGACGTAGGGGAGGAATACCAAGGAAATCAGCATCTGGCCAGGCGGGTCAGGACAGAAACCCGAAGTCAGGAGAAGCGGGGGGAAGGGGCGGGCAGAGGCAGGAGTAGGCAGCGGACTGCAGGTCAGAAGGCATACAAGGGCGGAGCTGGGCAGCGTTGGCGTGGCCCAGGGCTCACAAAAGGGAGTTAGGGGAGGGTTATTCAAGGGGGTGAACACTGTTTTGTTGTCTTTGTCGGGGAGGGGTTGGGAAACATCCCTCAATAAGCTGCTTAGGGATGAGACTTCCAGTAAAGATGGTCTTCAAATGGCGGGGCAGTTGGACATTGTTAAGTGATGGGCCTTGGTTTTGTGGCCTGTTCGTGAGGAGCTGCAAAAGGGTGCGGAGCCAGTGGCGCTGCAGGCTGTCTGGGACAACTTCACAGGTGAGGGGGCGGAAAGGAAATGAAGAAGGGACTTTGGCAGAAAGTAACCTGATTGATAGGAATTTTAGTTGGGGGTCTGGAAGGAATGAGTGATAAGTCCTTTCTCTCAAGATGTCCCTACTAAATCTTTACTACAATCTACTTTTCTATGAATGGATTAGTTTGGAGACTGTGAAGAGATGGTGAGTTGAATCCTCAAAGATACACGGGGTGAAAGTTGACAGGGATTGCAGGTAAAGTTAAACCACAATGCTTTGGATGGTACGGTGGATATGATGAAATACAATTTCCGCCTGCGGGGAATGTGGCTCAGGTGTAGAGGGGACAGATTGGAGGAGTGAATTTTGGAATAAAATGCTCCAAATGGGAAACTCTGGGAAAGAACTGATGCCCATCAGCTCCTTGGGGGGTGCCCTGAACTATTCAAAATACAGGAATGGAGAGGATGGAGGGCCGGGGGCGGGAGGCAGTGGGCTGATCTAAAAGCTGCCCTTAGGTCTCTATGTCCAGGGACAGGGAAGAGGGGTGGTGAGGGAGTTGGACTTTCTCTGTGTCCTGGATGGGAGACAGCAGTTCTTTGCAAGGGAGAGGCTGTTGACGCAGCTGCCTGGGAAGAGTCTAGCATCTTCCTGAGGACACATGACAGACATGGTGGGTGTCCACATCCGACATCATCCTCTGGTGGGTGAGAGGGTGTGGGAAGTGGAAAGTTCTAGGGCGTAGAGAGGAGCCATCAACAGGAAGGAGTTGGATGGTATGGATGGTTTGGGGATCCCTGGGTTTGCAAAGGTGGAGTGGGAGTGGGGTGAGCAGGCAAGGCGGCTTACCGGCACTGAGATCTTTAGTTCTGTGATCATGATTAAGAAGAGGAGGAACCAGGCTGTGAAGATGCCCACGGTGAGGTTCAGAACAAGGGACTCCACCCCTTCCTCAATGCTGCCTGGTGCATGCAGAGCAGTGTGGTACCAGAAGTACTGGTGGGGCACGGTCTGAATGCAGGCGAGGTCTGGAGGGATGCGGGCACTTAGGGACAGCAGCAGTGGGGTCAGCCCCTGCTCTCCACCCCCATCCTTTGCTTCTTGGTGCCCTGCCTCCCTTGGTCCTGCTGGCCTTCTCTTTCCCCCTCCTCACCAGTTCCATTGGCACTCTTTACCAGTGGGCACTGGTTCCAGGGCAGGGGGTGATGGAAGGAGTGGCTCAAGTAGGAGAAGCTCCAGGAGATGATGATGCCGTTATACAGGTTCACTAAGAAGCACACCTGGGGGTGGAGACAGTGGGCCTGAGCAGGGCGGGTGGAGATACGGGACCTAGAGACCAGAGGGATGAGCTGGGATGGCTCTTGGCTGGGCCCTCATTCACCAGCATGCTAGTGTAGCCCATGCCACCCAGCCACGGGAGGAGCTGCTTCCAGACCCGGATGTTGTCCACACGCAGCCGTTGCCCTATGACCATCTCTATGTACAAGAGGGGAGTGCCGACCAGGAGAAGCATGAAGAAGTACATCAAGATAAAGCTGCCTGAGAAAGGAAGCCAGGGGCTGTGCTTAGGCACCCGGGAGTCCCAGGACTTCTCTTCCTTATCTCCTGGGAATCTGCGTGCCCAGCCCACTGGGCCTTCAGACCCTTTCCACCAACCCAGCCCCCAACCCTTTCCATCCTCAGACCAAGGAGTCTGGACCCCAAGCCTCTACCTCCTCCCTGAACCTCAGAGTTCAGGCACCCAATTCCCTTTGCTTTCAGACTGACCCAGAAGTCCAGACCCCCCAACTCTCTCCTCCCCTAGAACCTAGGAGTCCAAGCACTGAGTCTTAAAGAAAATCCTTCCTTAAACTCAGGCTCCTAGCCCCTGGCCTTACCTCCTCCATTCCTATGACACATGTATGGGAAACGCCACATGTTGCTTAGCCCAACAGAGAAGGCAACCTGGATCAAGGTGTTCTCCGTTTTTTTGGTGTGAGCAAAGGAGTCTTGGGTCTTGGTGGTCTGAATCTCCTTGAGGTTGGAAGTTTGGACTTCTGTGAACTTTTCTTCCGGTCCATCAGACAACTCCTCTAAAGACTCCATGGCTTTCATCTTCCAGGTCCACTAATCCTGAGGGGATCTTGGGGTCACCAACAATAGTAGACTTCAGAGGACATGTCTCAGCTACTGGACTGTAGACTTCTTTGACAACAAGGGTTTGGTGCCATGAAGACCAGATCCAAACACCCAGTCTTAAAGAAAATCCTTCCTTAAAATTCAGGATCAAGACCAATCTTGGCCATTCTCATCATTAGTTACTGACTTTCGGAAAATAGTTTCATCTCTTGGAGATTCAGTTTTTCTCATCTTCCAAGCAAAGATGGCCTTCAAAATATTTATCACATGCAATGGCATGAGCACTGACCAATCAGAATAACTCAGTGCCATCGAGTCGATTTTGACTCAAAGCGACCCCTCCTTGGGTTTCCGAGGCAGCATCTCTACGGAAGTAGATTGCCTAGTCTTCCTTCTGAGGAGTGGCTGGTGGGTTTGAACCACCACCCTTCTGGTTAGCAGTCAAATGCCTTAGGCACTATGTCACCAGAGCTCCCTATCAATCAGAATAGAATCAAGAAATCAGACGACATACTGCACTGGGCACATCTGCAGCAAAAGACCCCTTTAAAGTGTTAAAGAGCAAAGATGTCACTTGGAAGACTAAGGTGTGCCTGACTCAAGTCATGGTATTTTCAATTGCCTTATATGCATGTGAGAGCTGGACAATGAATAAGGAAGACCAAAGAACTGATGCATCTGAATTGTGGTGTTGGCAAAGAATACTGGAAATCCCATGGACTGGCAGAAGAACAAACAAATCTGTCCTGGAAGAAGTGCAGCCAGAATGCTCCTTAGAAGCGAGAATGGCCAGACTTCATCTCACCTACTTTGGTCATGTTGTCAGAGGGACTAGTCGCTGAAGAAGGACATTGTGCTTGGTAAAGTGGAGGGTCGGTGAAAAAGGGGAAGACCCTCAATGAGATGGATTGACACAGTGGCTGCAACGATGGGCTCAACATAGCACAATTGTAAGGATGGCTCAGGACGGGGCAGTATTTTGTTCTGTTGTCCATAGGGTCGCTCTGAGTCAGAGTGGACTCGATGGCACTTAACAACACCAATGGCATGATCACTGATCAATCAGGAAAGATGCCAGCCATCAACACTGGAGTATCAGCTTACCACCAGCCCTTCCTGAAGAGATGAAAAAAATGACATCATGGCTACCAGTGACATAGAATGGAAATGCTTAAAAAGCAAAACAAAACAAACCCACAACTGGAAACAACAGGTGTTGGCAAGGTGGTAGAGAAGTTGGAACCCTCCATCGATGGCTGGTGGAAATACAAAGTGGCACAGCCCCTCTGGAAAATAAGTTGGCAGTTCTTCAAGAAGTTGAACATAGAACTACCATTGCTGTTGACCATATAACCTAGAAATTCCAATCCTAGATGTATACCCAGAAGATGTAAAAGCAGGAATACAAACAAAAACTTGCACTTGTCATGTAGCACTTTTCACAATACCCAAAATGTGGAAACAACAGAAATACCCATCGACAGATGTGTCTAAGTGTGTAAGGGCTGCTAAGAAATATCACAAGGGGGTGGGTTTGATGAACAGAAATTCACTTCCTCACACGTCAGGAGTCTACAAGTCCGACTTCAGGATGTCAGCTCTTGAGGAAGACTTCCTCTGCCCACTCTGGGGGGAAATCCTTGGAGACCTCCATATGGCATCTATTTTTTCTCCCATTTGTGCTTTGCTTCTTTGCCTAATTTGCTCCTTTTATATCTCAAAAGTGATTGGCTTAAGACACACCCTACATGGATATGGCTGCATCAACATAACAGAGAAAACCCTATTCCCAAATGGGATTCCATCCACAGGTATTGGGGTTAGAATTTATAACACATGTTTTTTGGGGACACAGTTCAATCCATAACAAGATGACTGGATAAACAAAATGTGGTCCACCCATACCATGGAATATTATTCAGCCATCAAGAGAGATGACGTCTTGATACATGATACAACATAGGTAAACCTTGAAAACATTGTGCTGAATGAAATGAGTCAGTTGGGAAAGGATAAACCCTGTATGATATCACGTATATGAAATAAGCAAATATACTTGTTGTTGTTGTTGTTATGTGCTGTCTAGTCGGCCCTGACTCACAGCGGCCCCTCCTTGGGTTTCTGAGGCAGTATCACTATGGAAGTAGATTGCCCAACCTTCCTTCCGAGGAGTGCCTGGTGGGTTTGAACCGCCAGCCTTCTAGTTAGCAGTCAAGTGCCTTAGGCACTATGCTACAAGAGCTCCTTTATAGAAACTAAAGATTATTAGTAATTACCAAGGATGGGAGAGAGGGGAAAAGAAAGAGTTTGCTTAGGGGGCATTGTGACCTCTATGGACCCATTCTCTAGTGAAGCAAGCATCACTGGTGAAAATGATAAAGATAAAAAAATCCAATCATTTAAGGTTTCTAGAAATCACCCTAAGGGCATTGTGTTGGATGGGGTTCTCTAGAGAAACACAAAAAACCAGCAAAGTATATATATATATATATTTATAGA